ATATTTGGCTTTATCTTCTCGAGCTGATCTTTGAAATTTCTGTTCAGCTCTAGGACCTCCTCATTTCTTCCATTTGCTTTAGTATCTCTACACTGGAGAGCAAGTTTCAGAGTCTCTTCTGACATCCATTTTGACCTTTTCCTTCTTTTTTGTCTGCTTAATGACTTTTTGCTTTGTTCACATATGATGTTCTTAATATCATCCCACAACTCTTTTGGTCTTAAGTCTTTAGTGTTTAATGTATCAAATCTATTCTTCAAATTATCCTTAAATTCAGGGGGGATATATTCGAGGTCATATTTTCACTCTTGTAGACTTGTTTTCATTTTTTTCAGCTACAGTTTGCATTGTTGTTGTAAGGTGCCATCAAGTCGGTACCAAACCCATAGCGGCCTTATGCACAGCAGAACGAAACACTGCCCGATCCTGGGCCAGCCTCAGTACTGTTGCCTTATTTGAGTCCATTGATGCTGCCACTTGGCCAATCCATCTTGGTGGGGATCTTCCTCTTTTTCTCTGACCCTCCACCTTACCAAACATGATATTCTTCTCCAGTAACTGGTCCCTCTTGACAATATGTCTGAAGTATGAGCAATGAAGTTTGGCCATCTTGGGCTCCAAGGAGCATTCTGGCTACACTTCTTCCAAAACGGATGTATTGGTGCTTTTGGCAGCCCATGGCACTTTCAATATTCTCCTCTAACCCCATAACTCAAAAGCATCAATTCTTCTTTATTCACTGTCCAGCTTTCACATTGATATGAGGTTATTGAAAATACCATGGCTTGGGTCAGGCGCACCTTAGTCCTCAAGCTGACATCTTTGCGCTTCAACACTTTGAAAAGTTCCTGTGCAGCAGATTTGCCTAATGCAGTACGTCTTTTGATTTCTTGACTACTGCTTCCGTGAGTGTTGATAGTTGATCCAAGAAGAATGAAGTCCTTGACAACTTCAATTGAGTCTCATAAGTAGGAGGAAAGACTGAAAATATTCAGGGAAGGATGTCTACTAGAAAAAAATTTAAATCCTATATATTTTTTTTGTTTTGTTTTCCGAGTGCATTATATAGAAATTGGAGTTCTGGTGTAGCACTGTAGGATAAGCATTGGACTGCTAACCTCAAGTTTAGCTGTTCAAACCCATCAGTTACTCCTTGAATACCCTGAGTCACAACTGACTCAATGGCACTTAACAAGAACAACAACAGTATAGACATATTTATTTATAAAAAATGTTTTCTTTAGCATTTCCTTTGTTGTTGTTGTTGTTAAGTAGACATTTAATACCTAAATCCATCCTGTTTTCTTTTATAGACAGTGGTCATCTCAAGAGATATATTTTAAACTATATTAATACAGACACAGTTATAATTCTTTAAGATAATTTTAGAGTTGCTTTATTTGTGAAGAAATAACTTCTTTGATCCTAGTAAGAGTCTGTGCAGGTTTTGCTAAAGTATAGTATCCTTTTATTTTGATATTTATGAACTAAAACTTGCCATTGTATCAGAGAATACATAGTTCAATTAGAAAGAAATTTTTCTTGCTGGCTATATTTCTGTCATTTTAACTTTACCACTTAAAACCTTTTAAGTTACTGAAACTAGAACTGTTGTTAAAACAAACAAAAAAAAAATCAAAATAGCTTTTGAAACCAAAGCCTTGTACTTACTAGATCACTCCCTAAAAGAAAATTGGGCACTTTGACTGGCTCATTAACACTTGTAGACCACTAAGATCATGTAGTGCACTCTAATGAGGTTCCAGGACCTAATGTTCTTAATAGTACCTTAATGGCCTGAA